TTTGACTCTTTTGTAAAGCATGTAATTCCTCTTTTAGATCTTGCAAGAATTTCCTCACCTCCTGGAACTCGTCAATTTCTTTCTCCTTTCTCTTTAGCAGTTCATTGTCTCTCTTCTCTTCCATCTCAGTTAGCTTTGCCATTATGAATGTTCTAAATTGTTTATCAGACATTTCCATGATTTGCATTGAACTGCTTATGGATGAAGAGGAGTTATTCTTTTCCCTTGGAGGAGAGGTATTTTCTTGCTTTCCCATATTTCTTGTGGTCCTGCAGTGATTTCTTGTCATCTAATGGATGGTGTGTTTCTTTTGAATTCTTGAAGTTCTATCTGAGTGTTCAGGAGCAAGCAGAAAGAGGTGATCTGGAATCTCTTTGCCATTCTGTTGTGATCACTGGTGCAGCAGATTCAGTAGATATTGAGGAATGTGTTAACCCTATTAGTATTTGGATGTTTAGCTACAGTGTTCTTAGATCCATATAAAAACACATTAAATGGATATTGTCTTCATTTTTCCTGTCCCCTGAAATGACTAGTTTGCAGGAGCCATGAGCAATCCTCTTCTGAAGGAAGACCTCAACTCTCCTGCCACGCTAGCTTTGTTGGCTGGAGGCTGAATTATCAGTAGAAAGTCTTCATTTTTCCTGTCCCCTGAAATGACTAGTTTGCAGGAGCCATGAGGAATCCTCTTCTCTTGTGTTTCCTCAGATTGCACAGGAGCTGCGCATTCTCCTCTGCACCCTTCCGGTCCTTCCCCATAAATCTTTGGTTGCCACATTATGACCAATAGGGCACAACATCTAGCAGTCTTAAAGGTCACTGCTTTGTTTATATGACTTTTATAATCTGAAATTTCAACAGAATGAATCCTGAGGCAGGTTCAAGTCCCTCCAGGGCCACAGTCTTTGTGTGGTCTTTGTGTGGTGGTGTTTGCCTCTCCCATATGTATCGCTTGTCATTGACTAAAATGTTTTATGTCTTTATAAAATACATGACTCTCATATGTATGGATGAGCTAAAGACACTCTATATATCTTGAAACTATCATTAATTGGCTTTATTTATTATACTTCAGTATAATGCACACACAAGTAGATTACAGATTAAGAAACTATTTACCTTTATGTAGATATCATACTCTTCATTTTGTCATTTTGTATACCATTCAGCCTTCAACATTTCTTGTACTAAGTATATCAAAGTACTAGCCCTAATCACAGGAAATTAGATCAGACAAGTGATTTACAAAACAATCACACTTTGCCCACCTTTTGTTTTCATATCTAAAAAGCAGTTCTTAACTGAACTCAGAAACCCAGAAATGGATTAACCATAATTCATGATTCGTAAAATGTGCTCATCATTTATCTATTTGCTTACTAATTTAAAGTCATTTACCTTTGATAATTTGCCTATATATCACATTATTTTATATATGTATGTATATGTATGTGTGTATACGCACACACATACATATATATATACACATATTTCATAGTTGATTGACTTAAATCAGTCACATGTATATGTATATTTAAATCTAACACCGATTTAAGTCAATCAACTATGAAAGCAAGGCATAAATATTCTCAGGAATATTTATCAAACTTTGCCATGTAGGAATTAGAAGTAAAATGTTTTTGGATAAAGTGGTCAAATAAGAGAATAGAATAACCTAATGGATAGTTCTAGTCATGTATGAAATAAAGTAAGCAGGTCACTTGGTAACATTTTTGAACAGTTCAAAAATGGAAAGGAAAGCTAGTCCTAGACATTCTTGACTGGCTAACTGACTGGTTCTGTCGCCTGTTAATTAAGGCAACCAGATCTCACATGACTGATTACAAAGTTTGAATCCTGGACCTAGTGGCAAAAGAAGACGCTAGGTACATATTCATGCATATCCCAAATCCTGAAAGGAAAGATAAAGCAAAAGAATTGCAATGTGGTCATTTATTCCCCATTGAAGGTGCTTTCTCTCATCCCTCTCTTTCTGTCTTTGGTGAATGCATGTACCCTCAAGCAAAACAAATAGTCTATAAGATGAAAGCTGGAAGAAAAAGGAATACTAAAAAGTTTTTTAAGGACAGATTTTTCTCAGAGGTGGAGAGATATATAGACATCCCTTCAAAGCTGCTGATAATGTACATAATGATGAATGATTCTCCTTTCTGCTCAGACTCCTGAATCTGTGTGTAGCCAGAGCTGTGGTCATGGACTCCAGAAAATTTACCAAAGAGGAAGACCTGATTGCTGCTTTATTTGTGTTTCTTGCACAGACAGAGGCATTTCAAATCAAACAGGTATTAAATAAGTACCTTATGATACACCAACCCCTGTTTCTCAATAAAAATGAAACCCAATGATATTGGAAATGGAAAAAGAGCACCACTGTTCTCAAGTTACATGTTCACTCATCATTTCAATATACTTATAAACACAGTTACTACCCTATTATGCATCAGCCCATTTCTGGTTTTTCTCATCCTATTAGGCTCCATTGTTAAGCTGATTTCAATGGACATTTATATTTGTAATTCAGAACTGGCTAAGACAGTGTCAGTCTTAGATCTCATACTGGGTCATGCTAAAGTCTACCCATAAAATGGAAAATGTGTAATCATCAAGGCTTTTTGTGGATTCCTAAAAGGCTTGAAATTGACAGTTTTATATCTAGATGATAAGCACAAAGGAAGGACACTATATTACTATAAAAATAATTTATACCATTTTAACAAAAAATATGCCATGCATTGACACGAAACTAATATCAGAACCTTACACTTTGAAATATTATACTAAGAAAAAGTCACATGTAAAAATGAAGGATGGAACATTCTAATAAATTTCACAAAATGACACCTCAAAATATAACTATTATACAAGGTATAAATTCAAGAAATTATATATCAAAAATGTGGTATTGACAGATATGAAATGTGGAATGACTCATTAAATCACATTCACACTTTCTAATATGTAAAGAATAGTTATTAACAATAATTTGAGTTCTTCCACAAGTATTTTGTAGTTTCAGTCGTCATAACAGTATAAACAATTTGGTTTTAATTACTAACTGAAATATATAGATATGCAGCCAGCCAAATGGCATCGTAGTTAAGGCTTCTGGGTTCCACATGGCCAAAAGTGTGATTCAAAATCAGACCAGCACATTAAACATGCTAGGAATGTGAACACGCATGCCCAGGGTCCCAGGGGAGAATGGAGGAGAAGGAGTTGTGACATAGTCATACACCCTGGGGGCAATTGCTCAATTTCCCTCTCTTTGTACATCTTATAGCAAAACTTTATTTACAAAAAAATAAGTACATGTGTTTAGGTGATAAGCCATGAAAATAACTACTCTTGGTTGTAATAAAAGATTTTCAGCACCAAGTAAGTATATAAAACAGAAAGTAAAAATAAGGGAAGACAGAGCATAAGACTCAGAATAAAATGTATGTATGTTTGTGTGAGCCAAGCCTGTCTCAGATAGAAGCCAGGAGCATCTGTTGATTCTAGAAGTAGAAAAGGTTATTCAAAGGAATAAATGTGATAATCTTTCTTTAGCTCTTTGAGAATAGTATACTATTGCCTCAGTATTAGTTTTGAAAATAAAAGCTTTTGGACCAGCATGTGTTGTGATGGTTAAGGCATGGATTTCCACATGACTAAATGTAGTTTGAGTTCCAGACCCGGCATATATGCCTGCGTGTAGTAAATCCCAAGAGGAGAATGGATTGTGGTGTGGCCATTCCCCTGGCAGTCTTTCTCACTTTCCCTCTCTCTTTGTCTCTCTCTGGTGAGTGCACATATTCTATGGCAAAATCCTAACATAAATAAATAAGAACTAAAGAATGGAGAAAGTAAACTGCCACCTATTTCTGTAAATAAAATGTAATACAAACACTTGCATAGCAATTAATTTCCGCATGCTCTGTGACTGCTATCATGCTCTCTACAATAGAGTTGAGCAATTGGAACAAAGACCTTATAAGTAGGTGTGAATAGAGTTATGAGTATTTCTTACCTATCACTTATGAAAGGACTAATAAGTTATCCTTGTATGTATAAACTGAAAATACAGAAATTAAACACATCCTTCTATAATATGGTTTAAATATCAATTTTGCAACATATAAATATGTAAGAGCAATAAAATCATATTCTAAATCCAAATGTTAATTTAATCAATAAATGTTAAGCATTTACATGTAAAATATACAAGAATATTGACCACAAATGAAAAAGTGCAATGAGAAAAGACTTGTACTACTAGGTAATGGGTTACATATGGAAAATAAATAAGGTAGGACATATCATATCTCAGGAGAAATAGATAATATTTTTCTGAATAAAAATAAGAATACCATTCATTTCTCTTATGCAAAAAATATTATAAGTCATAAGAAAAAAAGGCCTATCATAAGGAAAACCCAGCAGAAAGTAGGAAAGAGATCCAGAATGAATTTTCACCTTTGGTAACATGATTGAACCACAGGATGAGCCAACAAGGATCCTTGTACGCTGAGATCCTATTTCAAAGGTTCGAAGTGATCTACAGCTCAAAGTATTCTCCCAGGGTCACTACACAACCTTAATTTGGTGCATTTAGTTTACATCAGTGCCTGGACCTGATGGGCAGATCACATTAGTGCTGGGACCCACCCCACAGAACACATTTTTCTGAGTGAGAGATCTTATGAGCCAACAAGGATCCTTGTACGCTGAGATCCTATTTCAAAGGTTCGAAGTGATCTACAGCTCAAAGTATTCTCCCAGGGTCACTACACAACCTTAATTTGGTGCATTTAGTTTACATCAGTGCCTGGACCTGATGGGCAGATCACATTAGTGCTGGGACCCACCCCACAGAACACATTTTTCTGAGTGAGAGAGCTTTGGATTTGAAATAAATATCAAAATAAACACACAAAGACATACGAGAAGAAAAAAGTGAGAATCGAGTGGACCCGACTTCTCAAATGGAGAAAGCATGATCTACAACCAGTCTCAGGTTTATTACTTTACAAGGCAAAAAATGAGGGAAGAGAAAATAGAATGCAAATCCAGTCTTTTTCAGATGTTAATAGGCTGATGATGCGAGGAAAAATGGCGCCATGTCATTTCTCTGATCCTTTGGGGCTGATTCTGATACTGTGTTGTAGTATCAATAATAGCATGCAGGTGGCATGTTCAAATGTTTATTGCTTTCATTACCATGTAAATGACAGCTCACAGAACCACATTTCCATGTGTGTCTGAAGGTCACCATATTTGCTCAGAATGACCACTCTCACACATTAGGGGCTGTCTATACTCAAATGACACAAAGGTGATCATTTCCTTTAACATGATACAAATGAAGAATCTGTGAAATTGAAAAGCTGGCTCTTTCCTTTTCTACCAGATGCAGAGGAGTGTATCCAATGCTTAGTTCAAGAGTATCCAAACAGTGAGAGAACACAATGCCTCCCCAAGCCTGTGATATTCCTGGGTTTTGAGGATTCTTTGGGGCTAGCCATGGCCTGCATGGCTCTGTGTTTCTCTGTGGTCACAGCTGTGATTGTGGTGGTCTTTGTGAAGCACCGAGATACTCCTATAGTCAAGGCCAATAACCAGACTCTCACTTTCATCCTGCTCATCTCCCTTCTCTTGTGCTTTCTCTGCTCTCTGCTGTTCATTGGCCATCCTAACACAGCCACCTGCATCCTCCAACAAGTCACATTTGCTCTTGTGTTCACTGTGGCAGTTTCCACTGTTTTGGCCAAAACCATTACTGTGATTCTGGCATTCAAGGCTATGAGGCCTGGAAGAACAATGAAGTGCATTCTGCAATCAGGAGCTTCCAACTCTGTCATTCCCATTTGCTCCCTGATCCAAGTGATTATCTGTGTGATCTGGCTGGGAACTTCTCCCCCTTACATTGACATAGACTTACACTCTGAGCCCAGAAACCTCATTATCATGTGCAACAAGGGCTCAGTCACTGCCTTCTACTGTGTCCTGGGATACCTGGGCTTCTTGGCTCTGGGGAGTTTCACTGTGGCTTTCCTGGCCAGAAACCTGCCTGACACATTCAATGAGGCCAAATTCCTCACATTCAGCATGCTGGTGTTCTGCAGTGTCTGGATCACCTTCCTCCCTGTCTACCACAGCACCAAGGGGAAGTTCACGGTGGCTGTGGAGGTCTTCTCTATATTGGCCTCCAGTGCAGGACTCCTAGGCTGCATCTTTGCCCCCAAGTGCTACATTATTCTGATAAGACCTGATAAGAACTCCTGGAAAGCTTTAAAAAACAGAAAGAGATCCAGGAGAAAATAGGCATTCTAAGATTTGATCTCACAAACCTCTATCACATTTTTAGGGTTTTGAACTAAAAATGTACCCCAATTATATATTATGATAAGGTAACTGATTATGATTGACTTTTTAAATTCACATTTTAAAGCAGTCATTGTGTAAGTCTAATCTTAGTTATTAAATTTACAAATATAAATGAGCTCATATCAATTCCTATTTCTTATATTATGGGTATTGATTTATAGCTAAATTTTTTTAACTATTTATTATTTATAGTGTTCACCTATAAAGCTTTTTATTTATGTATGATTAGAAATAATGTCTGATTTCCCTACGGGAATTATTAGTTTGTATCTCTTTTCTAGGATGGCCTACATAAAGTTCAATTTCTTTTTTTTTTTTTTTTTGAGGGGTTTTTTCAACAGGTTGCATTTTGAGAGGTTTTCACTATAGGGCGCATGCACTCGCCAGACAGACAGAGAGAGACATAGAGACAGAAAGCAAGAAATCACCCCCCCAGGGAGGATGGTCTCACCGCAATCCCTTCTCCTCCATTTTCCTCTCGGGATCTTGGGCACACACGCACACGCGCCCGGCGTGAGTTCTAAGCCACCGGGTCTGGGACGTGAACCACGGTTGACTACGTGGGAATTCAGCAACATAGCCATTACACTAACTGCTGGTTCCCTAAAGTTCAGTTTCTTGATGTTAAAGAACCAGCTAGTGGTTACACTGATTCTCTGTTTGGTCTTTATATCTTTCTTTATATTTATTCTAATCTTAATATCTTTGTTTCTGCAAGCTTTTAGTTTACTCTGCTCTTTTTTAGTTTCTTGATGTGTAAAATAGAGCTAATCTGATGTCTTTTATTTTTTGTTCTATTCCAGAAGTTTTTCTTTTACACTTTTTATAAGTTATTACGTTTACAAACCTGCTAAATATTTTACACAAATGTGAGAACATTGCCTAGAGATGCAAAGCACAATAAAATAGTTACATGAAGAGAAAACTAAACATGTCCATTGAAATAAAGTTATTGCAGCTAGCGGCACTTAAAATTGGTCATCAGCACTTAAAATTGGTCATTTGTGTTTTTAAAAAGTTACACAGCTTCAGGATGACTCATTACTGTTGAGAAGTTTTAAGATGAAACAATTTATTTAATAAACTTCAATTCAGTAGACAATTCTATATGTAATTAGCTACAAAGTAAAATGTAACTCAATTTACACTTTGGAATGCATTCTTATAATATTAAACAACTTTTACTTTAAAAATATAACATGTTTTAACTTTTCTGTGTAGTATCTATTTTTTGTTCTTGGAGGAAAATGGAAGAACTTGAGATCACGGTCTCTATTCAGAAAAGGTTTACAGCTTGCTTAATTTCTTGTTTTCATCTGTAAAATTTTAATTAATAAGAATTAAATGATATGATTTTCAATATTGATAAATGTAGAAATACTATGTTGAGCAAAATAAAAAAAACCTTCAAGTTAAAAAGAATTGAAAGGCAACTATTTATGTAGCGCTAGAGAACTTAATAAAAAGTAAATTGACTTTTAAATCTGTTAACTTTGGCATCCGAGTATAAACTGGTTAACATTATTGCCTGTAGGTAACTATTAAGGACTGTGCAGCTTTTTTTTGGGGGGGGGAGAGATTTTCGCTATAGGGCGCATGCTCTCGCCAGACAGACAGAGAGAGACATAGAGACAGAAAGCGAGAAATCACCCCCCCAGGGGGGATGGTCACGCCGCAATCCCTTCTCCTCCATTCTCCTCTCAGGGTCTTGGGCATGCACGCACACACGCCCGGCGTGAGTTTTAAGCCACCAGGTCTGGAACGCGAACCGCGGTCGACTACGTGGGAGTCCAGCGACATAGCCATTATGCTAACTGCTGGTTCCCAGGACTGTGCAGCTTTTCAGAATCTCCATCTCCTGTATATGCATGTTTGTTATATTGAGTTCTATGCTCACTGCCCTCTCTTAAGTAGGATTTTTTTTCTTGTGGGTATATCTATCTCATTATCAATCTCACATCACTCTGATTTGTGGCTGTGGATGCCTGCATTTTTTATTTTCCAGAGACTGATCCTCCTATCATCTTGGGTGTTAAAGCATCTGAAAAAAAAAAGAAAAACACAAGAAAACCTACAAAACAGGATACTCAGTATGGAGGGTGCTCAGGGCATGATTGACTTCATCCATCTAGGTGGCCTTTATGATTCAGGTATAGACAAGGCAGTGGTGCTATGGCATCTCCCTGTTGTAATTCTCAGGCACATTGCCGGTTCCCAGGTCCTTTAGTCAGTACATCTCATTACGGTTGTTCTTGACTTGTTAGACACATCACACCATGCAACTTCTTTTCACCATGGAGTACAAACTGTAAACTTACAGGGCACTTAAACCTCCAAATGTGTGAGGAGAGAGGTGTGCTACTAAGGAGCCGATCACTAGGTGTGGCTCACCAGGTGTGGTCCACTAGGGCTTCTGTCACCATCCTCAGGACTGCTGCACACAGAGTCCTACAAGCCACATGGGCCACTGCTGCTGAAGGAACACGGCAGGCCCTGCCAGGACTCCATGTTCTCCACTGCTCTTCTAAGGGTGCAGCTGTAGGGAGTTGCCAGGGCCACTGAGGAACTGAGGTGCAGGTCTGGAGCACATGGGCTCCTGAGCCAGAAAGGTCTCCACCGCACATTGTCTCTTTGGTCCCTTTCAGGCTCTTGGAAGGTGAATATGAGCCTGAGTGCAAGTGGAGCCATTAGGTTCTGGGCACCCCTCTGTTTGGCCTTTGCATGCCTTATCCTACTAAGAGCCTCAAGCTTCTGGAAAGCAGGAGGAACCTGAAGGGCCCAGGCACTATGGCCTTCTTCAGAGGCTCAGCATGTCTGGGTCAACCAGTGTGGTGCTCCACTGGTTGATCTTTTCTTGTGAGATATTGTCTTCTCTCGGTCGTGGGTGAGGCCAATGACCTGACTGTGCACAGGAAGTGAGGAGGGGCGAGGAGGAAGAAGCACAGGCTGCAGAAGCCCTGTTAGCTCCATGGACTGAGTGGCTCAGGTGTTGCATCCCAGCCAGGGTTTCAGGTCTGGTTGCCATGCCCGTAGCTCTCTGTGCACCTGCAGTCACCGGACTCCTGCAGCAGCACTGCTACAGTCCATCCATGACTTCCATGGTGACTCACGGAGAAGGCTCATCTGTCTGAAATATTTTAATATAACTCTGAGCAAAATGTTTGCAGTATCTCAACATTTTCAGTATATTGTTTCAAGCTTTGTCTCAGATATTTGAGTTAGTAAGACATATGTATTGATATTTAAATTAAAATGTACAGTACATATAAAGCTATTTTACTTAGCAAATATAACCACATTATTTGACTTTTTAAAAAACTTTGGAATAATTCCCATTAAAAGCACTACCATTTTCTCAGTACAGATGAGGAAGGAGAAGGTTATTTAAATTCATTAGATTAATGATAGACCCAGCCTCAGTGGCACAGGTCTATAGTCAGAAAGAAAGTCTCTGGGTTTGTATCCACGGTTCAGCTGAATGACTGCAGGGCAGGTAGAGGACTGCCACAAGATTACTCTTTGAAGTATGCTTGTCTTTCTTTCTCATTAAAAAATACATGTATATAGATAGATTGTGTGTGTGTGTGTGTGTGTGTGTGTGTGCGCGCACGCGCGCACGCGCGCGCGCTATAGGTTGCATGTGCTCGCCAGATACAGACAGACAGAAGGTGAGAAATCACTTTCTCAAAAACTTCTCTCTCTAAAACAAGAGAGAGAGAGAGATTCCTGTTGAAAGCGCTTCTCTATCTCTTGCACTCACTTCAAAAGAAAAATAAAAAGTGGAGGACCCAGCAAAGGTGACTAAAGAGAAATAAATAATAATGTAAGAAACAGACACCACACAAAAAAAAAAAAAGAGAGAGAGAAAGTGCTTCAGAAAGGAGAGCGTGAGCGACTGTTTCAAATGCTGCTAATGCAAGAAGATCAAGAGGAAGAATGAATGTGTATGACTCTGTGGAAGTCACTGGTTACCTGAACCAGAGGAATTTTGATGGAATGATGGGGAGCAAATACTAAGGCAGGGAGTGGAATTGGCAAGGGCACCAAAGACATTTCTTAGAACTGGGCAATGAGGGAGAGTAGACAAATGGAAGTAGCTAGAAGTGGAAATGGGCAGCATGGAAGGCCCTGCAGCAATCTCATCTCCTCCATTCTCCTCTAGGGATTTTGGGAACACATACACATGCACATGCTTCTGGAGTGAGTTTAAGCCGCCAGGAATATATATATATATATATATATGGTTTTTAAAAAGCAATTGGTACCAAAAGAGCACAGAATGATAATGATTTTTGTACCCTAGTTACCACTCAGTAGTTTCTATATTTTTGAGGATTTTTTCCTAAATTTAATATTAAGTTTAATTCCATCATGGTCAGAGAAGGCACTGGATATAGTTTCTATGCCTTTGAATCTTTAAATGCTTGATTTGTGTCCTGTCATATAATCAATCTTTGAAAAAGTTCCATGTGGGGTTGAGAAACATATATGATTTTTTGGTCTTAGGGTCAAAATTTTTATAGATATCTGTCAATTCCACTTGATCTATAGGTCCTTTACCTTTCTATTTATGTTTTGTCTTGAAGATCTGTCTAATGAAGGAAATGGGGTGTTGAGATCCCAGCAATTATGGTGTTGCAATCTATCTCTCATTTTAGATCTAGGAAACTTTCATTCACATATTTAGGTGCTCCTGAGTTGGGTGCACAGATATTTATAAGCATTATGTTCTGATGAATTAGCACTTTTACTACTATATGATGTCCTTCTTTGTCTCTTCTTACAATTTTTGTCTTAAAGCCTATTTTGTCTAAAATCAGTATTGCAACTCCAGCTCTTTTCTGATTTCTGTTTGCATGGAAGACCTTTTTCTAGCTCTTCACTTTTAGTCCAAGTATATCTTTGTCTATATAGTGCATTCTTGTAGGCAACAGTAG